ATATCTCAGAACCTTGTCAGTCTAATTGATGGTTTAGCGACACAATCATGCATGCAAATAATCAGTATAAGCAGTCGAGCAAATATCCTGCAAACTGAAAACATCAATGTCGAATTTACCCCAACACTGACTAAGGTTCAAGCTATTATCATAGGCATGAGTTGGGAGTGCACTCCCCTTGGTTACAACTTATGTTCTCCCTGATAATCACATGAGCATCACTCACTATTAATCATCTTGTAAAAAAATTATTTAGCTAAATACATCTTGCAGCACATCACTTAGTAATATGACACATGGGCTTAGCTGATTTTAATAACTTATAACCACTATATCTCAATTAAGTCGTATTCTGCCTTCATACGTGCAACTAACTTGTATGTCCAATCAACCGGCAAGTATAAATATAAATAAATAGTCTGCCACAGATCAGAACATTGAGTCTAGAGCATGTCTCTTACGAATACACTCATGTTTAACGATTTGTTCTTAGCTATCTGTCCAAAACTCATATAATTTTCACTTATGTATTTAAATTTTGTTTTGATAACCATTCATGTGTATTAGTAGTATTACTAAATTCTATCACGGTCAGGTAAACATGGGGTTGAAAAAATCTCCCCGTAACTAAATAAACCGTATCAAACTAACTGGAACACTAGTTGGAATTCTTCTCCACGGTAATGCTTTTGTTCCTTCAGTTAGCCTACTAATACAGATGCAATTGGAAATCGACTCATATGGACAACTTACCGGCATAATCGTTATTTGATTTCATAAGTTAGACTAAAAGTGGTACTAATATTAACATTTCTACAATATTCATAACTTTAATATTTCTAAACACAAAATACATACTACCTATACGTTAAGTTGTCAACCAACGGCTATTACACACGCATCGTTTTATTATTACTATTATTGTAATCCCATTTTTTTTTATAGCTCAAATAATCACTCAAATTTTCATTGTAAGCGTTTTAAGCATGAAGGCAAATATTTTAAAATTATTACATGTATTTCCCGACCAGATGCTGCCGTCTTTTTGATTTATCTTTCAGCTTGTCATCACCCGGAGGATTCTTATTATCCTTGGTAACCTCCGGCGCGCGACGACCCCATCCAATTTGGTATCGAACCAACACTACGTTGATTCTGGTGGGAGAGTAGTGTAGTGGCATTGGACCATAACCACACTATCCTCAAAGCTGAATACGAGATTACTCGGAAAATAGGTATTCAATATTTAACGCGAAGAAATACCTAACGATGGAGAAGGCGCGAATAATGAATTGAATAGACTAGAGTTGATCGAACGGCATGGCTCGGCCTTGCAGGCGTGGTCTCTGCTGAATGTTACCTTATATCTTCTTTTCATATTAAATATATTGTTCTTTCTCTAGCCTAACCTTGTTCCACATCATGTAATGGTAATTGATACGATACAGTGAGTTGGTGTAGTCGATGGTGTGACTTCCACGTAAGATCTTATAGATTAGGCAGTCATATCATGACAAATCTACAAATTTAGGATTAGGTCTATTATTAGAGCAGTACTAATATCATAGTAGACCACAAATACTACATATTCACCTTATCATGCAGTGTAAAACCCGAAAAAACCAGAGGAACTGGGAGTGGTTTTTGGTTATGTCACTAAGTTTGCAGGGGTTTCCCTAAATGATATGATTTATCAAGGACCCGACACCACGGTTGAGCTAGTGTGTATATTATTCCGTTTTCATAAGGAGGCGGTTGCAATCTCTACAGATGTTGAGGAAATGTTCATGCAAGTGGAGGTCCCTGAGTCTGGTTGAGGAGCTTTAACATTTATATGGTGGGAGGAGGATGACATGTCGAGGGAGCCATCGTAATTTCAAACGACCTCTCATCCATTTGGTGCCAGGTTGTCACCGTTTTGTGCGAATTTCGCTGGGAATAGAACAGTTCAAACATTCTCTGATGGTTATGATTGTTATGTCATAGATTCTGTTGAGAACAATTTATATGTTGATGATTGCTTGATATACTTTCCCACCTGTGAACAGGCAAAGACGTTTGATAAGCAGACAAGTGAATTATCATGTAGAGGAGGTTTCAAATTAAAGAAATGGATCACCAACTCAGGAGAACTAAGGACCACCTTGCCTGATGCGTGTAAAGAAGAGTCTTTGATAGAAATGCCAACGAGTTATGATACCACCCATCAAACTCTAGTCGAATAATGGGTTTTCAAACAAGATGTTTTTAAGTTTTGCTGCGATGCACCAGAAAGCCTTTGACTAGAAGAGGGATTCTATCTGGGTGTTTTTCTGTTCGATCCTCTGTTCTAATTGTTCCAGTCTGCCCCATTGCCAGATTCCTCTTGCAAAGATTCTGTAAATCTAAAACGGGTTGGGACAAGCTACTCACTGACCCATGTCCACATGGCTAAGTTGGATAACTTTTATGCATCAGATAGGTCATGTTACGTAGGCAGGTCGAGTAGGTGTATTGTTGTAAGTCCTACTTGCTACTCTAGTATATGCTGCTATAGAACGTACCATGACCAAAGGCATGGAAGTGGCTTTGTGTTGTATAAAGGGATTTCTGAGGCCAGCGTAAGATCTATTTTGAAGGTTTTGTGTGAAAAAATCCCTCCATGTATACGCTTGTCATTTGTTCCTATTGATCCCTTCAGTTTTACATTTTGTTAGTCTTTTTGTTTCCATTTGAAATGGAAATATTTGTATCTTATCATAGTTTTTATTTTTCTTATGCTTTTACTGAGTTTTCACTTTTCTTCGTGAAATGCACTTATGTTGTTTTACTTAATAATTAGTCTTGGCGGCAACCATATCGATTTGTTCTTCATTTGATTATTTCGCTTGCATTGACTGGAAGTGTGCATTTTTGGTTGTGAATTGAAGCACTCTTCCAGAATCGGAAACACTCTGTGTTATAAAGCAACCAAATATTATCTTTTGAACAAATCTATGCGTGGTCTATCCATAAAGAATAGAATAACATTTATTTGATGCGTTTGGTAATTTACTTATATTCTTTATCCACTTGTTTATTTATTGTACTTTAGATTTGCTAACTGGCTGAACAATTATTGGTTGGATAACGGGGTCGTAGTACTTGTTTAGGTAGCAATGTATATTTATATTTATAATGAAATCTAGAACAGTCATTTACCCAGTCACCTTATTTTGATTTCAACTGGGCAGTAGCGCGTATCTAAGCTACCTAGACATTTATTCTTCAGTCCGAACCTTAGTTTGAATTCTACAGACTGAATCACGTATTCTTGCTGTAAATATCCAGGTCGACCGTTTCACAGTTAAATTTCTGTTGATGATGCTGAACTGGTTATTTATGAAGTCTAGTTAATTTAAACCCTGTATTAGATGGTTACTATGAATATCGTTGCCAACAGTAAATTTATTTGCGAAATCACTTCTCCTTTTATCTCTGAGTTCCAATCTTTGAATTCAATCAATCATTCTCTTCTCCATGTATATATGTACTCGAATCCTGTTATCAGGCGTTGCTTCGCCTTGATATGCCCTTATTCAATTTGACTTTAAATTCGCCTCCGTATTTGCTCGCATACACACACTCACCTTTCTGATTCCAATTCGCTCGAGGTGCCTGTGGCATTGTGATCTGTGCTATCTGCCTCCTGATTTCAAAAACCGCTGGAATTTATATAATGACGGTTGTCAAGGTGATTGATTAAGGAGACTAAGCCACTAAAAACAACAGTCATGCAGTGTATGGTAGTTGGAAGTTACTGTTTGAATAACCACTACAAATGGAGTTGGTTAAATTCTTAAATATCTTATCGCACCTACGGTACCGACGGCATAAAACGAGAAAAGCTGACCTAATGATCTTTTATTGGTTCCGACGGGTAACTCCACATAGCGTAGGGTCCCATAAAAGAACATAGCAACACTGTTTTGCTTTTTAATCACTGAGAACGATGTAAGTATTATTGATTTAGATGTCGAAAGTAACAGAAACATCAAATAACTACCGACGAAGCCTATTCACAACTGATATAAATGAACGAATTACATCTAATATTTGATCACATATACATTTCACAAGGACGGAAGATATGATATTTTATCGTAGTTATTAAGTTTATTAAATATACTCGTCACCATATCTTATCTCTAGTTTTGGCAAACTTTTCAAAAGATAAGTGCCTGGAATCTGGAGTAAGATAACTACAAGTAATCTAAAAACGTTATTTACAATCCTTTCGAACTTAATAGATGATTTTCGCGGTCTAGCCTTTACCAACAGCGTTGATGAGGAATATTTCTAGCTTATGATAATTTCGGATTTGTTATGGTCTTTGGGATGGATTCCAGTAACCACAACCAAAACATTGAGCTCAATAACTATAACGCGGATAAACTTTATTTATGTTCATCAACGCGGAATATCAGATAGCGAATACTCAAAACAGCTTCTAGCACTATAAGGCAAGTTTTTAAAAAATCGATGATTTTAAACTAACACGGGACAAAGACAGTGGATACCAAACGTAAATTGGCCCTAGCTACTTATGATTGTCCTCGTGCTAATAGCAGCTTTATTCATAGCGTAATGGATTTTAGGAACGCAGTTGATTCCTCATGACTAGTCCAAGTCTGGAATTCCCTAACGGCTGCGGTAGTCCCAACGACTTCCCAGGAGTCCTATAAAGGAAAAAATTTAACACATCCTTAAATACACGAGACAGTACATCATTTCAAATTATCACACGTTTTAAAGTCGTTATCTATACCTTGATTCCTACCTGAAAGCATCGGTGACCTCCATCTACCAGATACGGAAGCCGGCTAAACGAAAGCTTATAATCCGTTCAAACCTTTCGAACTATTTGATCAACACAAAGATCCAAACTAAATGACAGCTGAAAACTACCCTCTATAAGCAAGAAGTAAAACTCAAGAAACGAAGTTTTAAATTTATTAGACTACGAAGTTTGAATGTTTGTTATAACCCATCGGCTGTGTTTGCGCGAGCGGCATTTTGAGTAGACTGGAGATTTAGAAGTATTAGGACTCATTGCTTATGACGTTACTAACGTGAGTCTGTTTTTCTTATTGCAGGGCAGCAAGTGTAATGAAAGCCCTATTTAAGCTGGACCTGTAGAACGATAGATAATTCTATTTTGTAATGGATTTTCCCTTTTTCGTACCTAATCCAAATATTTGAATTTTCGAAATATATGTTGTACTAGTGCCTCGCGTTCTTACTCCAGAGGCATTTAACGATCCCGACTGTTGTGTTGTCGTTTTAGACCGTTTCCGCTTCTGAATAAACGCCAATAATACGCGCTACAGTGATGCATAATCTCGATTTCGAATATGAAGAGCCCGTTGAAAAACGTTTTGAAGACCTCTGTCAAGATTTATGTATAGATGGATCTGTTAGAGAGGAAGCTTGGGAAAAGTACAAAGGTAAATAGATAAATTTTTTGATTTAACAAGATGTTTGGGCAAATTATTCGATTGATGGTGATCAAATCCAGTGGCTTGTTTGTTCCCTCTATGAATGTTGTCGCCGTTGTCTATCAGACGGGATTTCTGGACATGTCGATAACGCCTATATATCTCTGTCGCGATTGTTATCTGCAGCCAAAATGAGTATGGTTCAGGCATGTTGCTCTTACTAATTAATCTGTACAGTTCTTTCATCGTATTAGGAAATGGGCTGACATGACTGACATGCTGGATGATATGAGAGATCGCATCGAGCTTATTGAACGTCAGTTCTCCGTTTCATCGGTGATATTTCGTAATTTTGGCCGGTCGTTTGGGGTATTATTTTCTGACACCGATTACGAAACCAGTCAAAGTAAGTTGTCTTTCACATAAATTCCCACTTCGTATAACGTAAAATGTCCTCATATATCAAAAAGCCTGTAGTTCGTTTTTTGGCCACATGTTGGGAGAGAACTTAAGAAATTAATTCAACAAAATCATACTGATATCTTCAGAATGCTCGTAACGGGTTGAAACACCTACCTAAACCTGATAATTGATTTGGAAATCTTGTATAAACCGTCCATCAAAATGTCCCATAACAGCATCGAGTAAATTCATAGACTGATTCCACACCCTGATTTTCTCCCAACTTACGTTTACGGCATCTAACGTCATTTGTCGAGGTTGGGAATGGTTAGGCATCAATAACACATGTTCTAACCACTTCAGCCGATGAATATTCACGGTTTTATCAACTGATTTACTGTCTTCCTTGAGTTTCCTGTATTCAACCTTTGCATTACTCATTCAGCTATATATATACATATATATCTTCATGCAGTCATTTCAAAGACTTCCTTTGAAAAAGTTTGCATATTAAATGCTTCTAGTAAACAATCTATGACCTTATAAATTGGTTCTACGTTTTAATCTGATCACGTTGCTCTTGGACCAGGTAATTGTACATCTTTCAAATTATGTGATAATTTGATAGAAGTAACACCAAGTAAACCATGACTTAGTCACCTCGTCACAAGTTTACAATCTCTCTCGTCTTACATCTAGTATTGTACGCTCAACGATTCCACTTTACACACCTATTTGCAAAACAGATATCAGAGTGGAGTTTAAGCATCCGCAAAATTTAGCGTTCTTAAGTCCCCTCAGCACATCCGAAGTTTCATCTAAATCTTCGCCATCGTCTAGTGGGACTTAATCATCTGTGTTTTCTCAACTAGTCACAAGATTCGTAACATAGACTCGAGTGAAGTTGGAGCTAAAGTTATCGACCCGATCATCATGTTTATGTTATTTACTTGGACGTATTAACGACGAGCATCCTCGTCAAACATCTACTTATCATTTCAAATATTTTGTTTCTCTAAATTGACTTATCAGTAAATCACTTAATTTAACTTATTGTTCAAATGTTGGAAATTTCTGGACAGTAGACGATGCAGTTCTATTTCGTAGACTTAAATCACTTTACTGAGCTGCGTTTTATATATTACTCTGTTTTTTTCATAATCTCGACTTGTTCCTTTCTATCGTTTCCCTTGTTAATATCGCCGTCTTTTTACAAATTTCTCTTTCTATTAATTTGTCACTACGTTGTTTGTGTTATATACCAACTTTAACTGATGCACCCATCAGTATGTTCAATCTTGCGTTAGACATACATTTTGGAGAACTCATTTAATGGCTTTGAATGTTTAAGATGTATATGAACAATTGTTTACTTGTACCGATTCTTTTCTGTTTTCATCATTTCAGTGCGCCCAACGGGTTCTGACTTGTTCCGGTTTACATGGCTGCTATTCATCAAGTCTCGAGCAAGTTTTCCAGCAGTTACCGATGATTTAGTCAATTCCTATCACTTACTAGCCTGCTGCTTGGACTGGACTCTTGGTGCAGTTATGCTTTCCAGAAGACGTGATTTGATCAATATGGAGCAAAATGGTTTGCCTAGAGATTTTTTAACTTCAGTCGCTCAAAACAAAACTTGGTGTCCACCCCATGATGAGCCAACTTGTATGCTACGTCCAATATGCGAAGATAATGATGTTAATTATGTTGAATGTAAGACTGTGAAAGAACACTTTTTTCGACCATTTATGCTAAGGTTGATTGAAAAGGTTAGTATTATTTATCTCAGAAGTTATGCTTTAGTGCATACCTATTTCAGAGAATCAATTTTGAGTACAGTTAGATATTTAAGCGATTGAAAATATATTTAGCTCAAGCTGGACCTGCCGTGTGATACAATATTTTAAAGATATAAGTATTTTCAGTTATTAGTACATCATATGGCTTGATGTGCAAAAATAACGGTCGCCTAATTGTATTGAATAATATAAATACTTTTGTGTTATATGTTATATTACTAAAATATTTTGGACTTATGTAGTTTACTAAGTATATCGTGAATGTAAATCGAGTATAGATTTCGAAATTTACAACTCTGCAGGTTATATTCAGTGATTTTCTATTCTTTGAGCAAAAGTCATAAATTTTGATGCTATTCTAAATAATTCATAAGGTTAAACTTACAGTTGTACATTGCAAATTTTCTGATAGTAAAGTAAGCAAAATTTGATTTTAAAATGCTATTTTTCATTTGAGAAGTAATATGTTCTATGTATATCCAGCCATCGCCTACCTCGATTTCCAAACCAAAACAATGCGTCAGTTCATAACGTCACTAACCGTTGGTCTAAACCATATAGACAAGTGTGGACTATCTAGTTGGGGCCCTAAAATACTCTGGTACGGTCGAGGGTAAGGAGAGTTCGCTCTTTCTTGAAGTGCTCTCATAAGTTCACGAGTATACAGCCACTGTCAGAAAAGTCCTACTCATTGCTTTCTCGTGGTAAGGGTGTTGTTTACGAAATTGAGAGGACGAAAACCGAAATTCCAGCGCTTTAACCAGATTGGTGGTCACTGGCTACCATGGGACTGCATCTTTTCACGTTGCTCTACTGCCTTGTGGATTAGACCTCTAGATCAAAGGCTCCGAGTGTGATCCTGCTAAGAAAACCACCTGCTTCGGTTTGGTCGCCCGAGTAGTATCCCAGCCCTCACACCAATTGAATGATTTATATGGCGCATATCTATTTGGTGCTATTTTATACCAATGTTTATATGTTTAAATAAATAGTTATGTTGGAGTCCATAAAATAATCGCAACCAGTGTTTGGAGACGTTGAATAGGGGACAGATACATATACTCTATCTCGTCCCTTAGATCTTGGGCTTTGAAACTCTTATGCTTTTTATCCCACTAGTTCATTCTCGAACCATGCTGTCGATGACTAATGTTTCTACTTTCATTAATACTCTGGCAATTGTCTTGACAATTTCATCTCACTCTGCTGATAGTGTGTCAAGTCAAACTGCCCCAGTTCCTACTTTGCCCATGATTAACCGACTGGTTGATTCATTGTAAGAAAACGAAAAATATATGGTAGCTTTTGATGGGCTTTGCTAAAGAAAGTTAAATATAAAAATAAATGGTATTTTCAAGAAAAAATTCCTACATACTATGTTATACGAAATATTCACTTCCTAATTATAAGTGGATTGTCATTAATTTTAGGTATGTTGATCACATAATGATTCAAGAACGTCAGTTGGAATCATTTGAATGGTGCATATTTGTAAATTTTTAGACTCTATAGTTTGATAATTGTCATTTCCATGGAACAGTTTATACAGGTCCTATATTCTGAGCGCAAATTGTTTACTTGTTTCATTTTTTTAAAGATCCAAGTAGCCTCTCACTTGTGAAAATATCTAATCTGTCATTTCATTTGCGTAACGTTTTCAATGTCTACTGTTTAGTCCTAGAAATATGTTTTCAAAATGTGTTGTACAATAAATGCAGGCGTTTGCGATATTTTTTTAAGGATTTGATCAAACTTCACCCTTCAGTTCTCGGGAGTTTATTAGAACAGGAAAATTTCGAAATAACAATTCAAAATTTGAACAATAACTATGAGGAATACATTATCGGTACGGGGGACTTTGATGAACGTATTTATCTGAGCCCGAATGCATCAGAAGAAATTGGATCAATCGGGGAAAGTACTGTTCAGTCTGATTTTCATCTACCTGTCGGTCTGACACCATCTGCGCGCCGATATATGCTCGTAAGTTATTTATTTTTTGACTCGTTCATTCTTAGTATGCCTCTAGTTTAACATTTCAATGTTTTGATTATGTAAAGGTCTGATTTTTTTCGTTTTTTGACATAAAGGACCAGTCTCTGTTAGTATATACGTATCCTGAGCGGATTACTCCGATGATGACGAAAATATTTGTTACTTTGATTCATAATTCCCTCTTATAACTTACATTATATCTTACTGGATTATTTTTTCTGGTAAGCGTTTTTTTAGCGAGTTAGTTTTCTACGGGATGGGGACGCTAACCCCATGCCCAACCCTCCTCCTTTACCCGGGCTTGGGACCGGCAGTAACCCTATAAGAGCTACAGGCGGAGTTTACATTATATCTATAGGATTTAATTTTTCACTTTGTTGTAACCGTTTTCATTCTTATGATATATTTTATTTGCTACTGAACTTGTATATTTGATAAATTTCTGACGCTTATTCGTCATAATCATAAACCAATAATGGATTTACTTTGGAGTGGTTTGAATTATCCCGTTGTTAATATTCTTGACTGAAATTTGGTTAGTCCTGATAGGTATATAAGTATTCTTTGCGGATTGCCTCAGTATAACCATTATGACAAGTTCCACTGCTAACAACATTCCATCTATTTTATATAACCCAATACATATTCAAATTAACGTACAACGTCCATGAAGTACTATACTGGTTGGAATTCACGAATGTCAGAATTTGAAATTTCCAAATGAAGTTAGTCATTTAACATTTTATAAGCCTATCGGCCTACCAGTTTCTTAAATTATTATTTCCTACCACAGAGGTCTTGGCGTAGTCAATTCTCAATTTTGAATATTGATTTAGCTTAATTATGTAACGTCTCATTTCAAAAGTTGATTACCTTTTTTTACATATGATATCATCTCTACTTCTGTTGAACAGCGTAGTATGCTTTGTATGATATTTATGGCAAGCATTTTCCAACTGAACTAAATATCCATATGATATCATATTGTTAAGTGAAGATTAGTGCAGATAAAACTAAAGATATTCAATTGTTTTGGTTTTTTAAAACTAGCTAGGTGATTCAAATTTGTAAACATGATGTTTCATTCTAAGTAGGATTGAAATAGCACTTTTACGGAAACTTGTTGTCTAAGCGTATCAATTGTAATACGGTAGCGAATGCTTTCTATTTCTCAGACGTTCTGTTTTCTCTAAATTACTTATTTGTTTGTTCTCGTTATGCTACCTTTTATTAACGTTTACTGATTTTAATTCATAAAATAATGATTTTTAACTCGTTTTTCTTTATTTCTTTCCGTTGTGTTCTAAGGAAGTTAGTAACTCTGGTTTTGGAGGTTTCACTGAGACTACGCGGCGTGGTAATGCGAATGCTGGTGCTATCAGTCGTCTTAATGGAGGTGTCAATTTTAGCAATCCTGAAGCCCGAAGTCAAAATCTCAATCAATTACAAGTTCGTTTGGCTTATAATAATCATAAACTGAGACATCTTTGTATTTTATTTTGTTTATCAATTAGACGACAATTTTGCTGACTAGAAGTTCCCTCTGTTTTATTTTATGGCTATTACGTTTGGCTTTTGAAATTAGAGGATAGTCTTATATTACTAGTGTTCGACTATATGTGTCTTTGAGAAATTTCTCGTGTATGTTGCGATCACAGAGTGAGCGATGCTAATGACAGATTGATTAATGATGTAGTGGGTCTCCATCTACTGAGAGGTGGTCGTGATGTTTTACTTATGTCCAATCATCGCCTATCTCGACGGATCATCTGTTGCTGTAGGAGTACGTTAGCAAAAGATTTGGAGCAGACAATCCGAAACGTGGCATCATTCCACGAAGTTATTGGTTATTGGTCTGAACCACTCTAATAGATCCAGAAAATCTAGTTGAGGTCTACATGATTATTGTAAATAGTGGTTAGAAACTGTGTGATATAGCTCAGAATAGTTTGTAATGCTATAGGTCACTCTCGAGGTGAATCTTTTGTTTCTAATCTTTTCCACTAACGTTAACATTGTTACATTTCACTGTGCTAATGGTGTATGGCAGCTTAAACCGATGTATATATATCCCAGAGTCTACATTTAGCATTTTTACAAGAGTATTTATAGTTTCACTTTCATGAACAAGAGCTCTAAAGCTCTAAAGGCGTTAAACCATAGTATTTTTTAGAAATAAAGTTGCCTTAATTACTTACCCTAATGTAGATATTAGTGTTTTATAGTTCGTCAACTGTTCAAATTTATTTTTTATCCATTTCTCTTCTAGTAAGTTGTATTTAGTTTGACAGTAGTCACTACTCAGTAATCAAACAATTGCAAATATCTCGATCTTAAAGGAAACCAGACAGGACTCGGATGGTATCATGTTAACATCTTAGACTGCTTATCTGAGTAGTGTGTTCTTATCTCACAATCAGCCTTCGTTTTCTTAAAGAATTACTTGCCTGTCAGAGAACGGCACATGGTTCCGAATGCAAATATATAACAAAATATGGATTCAAAAACACTGGTGAAGTTTCAACAAGTTATTGTACTAGTAGATATGCAAGCACTGTTGTTCTTGTCTATATTTGAGAAGACAATATGCAGCAAGTGGTTAATGGGAAATCGGTATTAAAAAGAACTATATATAGTATTAGTTACTTATGAGTAGTATAATCAGATAATAATGCATAAACTCAAATTTGTTTCCATAAACGGAGGGCTTTGAAAGTGAATCATTGGTCTTGTTGCAATTTTGGTAGTTCAAGTAACTGGTTAGTGGTATTGTTAACACTGCAACCTGGTGCATAAACTTGTATACTTGTTTGGACAGTTGCATAGTTTTTTGTCGAAACGTATGTAGAACTGTAAAAACATAACATAAATTGTTAAAACAGATGACGACAGATCAACTTTTTTCCTTGCAGGTCACAAATTGCTGATCTGTATTTTCGCATGCAGTTACGAACCAATGAGGTTTATAAGCTTAAACTAATCTCATTTATCAGTGACCAGCAAACAAAATCCAGTCTTCTACTGTAATTTATATATAAAGCTACAAATAAAGGTGTATTATCAAATGAGTATTAATTATCTAGTATTCTAAAAGGGTGCATTATACATGTTACTTAAGTTGTCTTGTTTTTTTAGGCAATTTTCAACCTGGTTCGGCAATATCGACATTTTTTTATAAAACATGCCTATGTACTATTTATATATCAATAGTGTTTGTTCGCTTATACACATTGCACAGCAGTGGAATTTCTTGTTTCACTTTTATCAACAAAAGAAGCGTTCATACAATCAAACAAATATTATTTTTGTATAATTTTTTCTCTACAGATTTTGTTAAATGGTCGAAACAATGAGCCATGTGAATCTTTAGTCCATCTTATCAATACACATTGTTCTGTATCACCACTCTCTACAATTCGTGAAAGATTAGATAATTTAGGTGAACAATTTCAACGAGCTTATGCTGGATTAAAATCAATCAATAGTAGTGGAGTAACAATAACACCAACAGCGAATAATTTAGCAATTTCAGCTGCACAACAACGACTACAATTGTGTTATCCATTATATTACATGGCTTTAGAAAATATTCTCTTAGATGAAATTCGTAGAATCGAAAAGAAACTGGTTACTACTAATCCCACTCCACTCTCCAGTTCAAATAATTCAAATAAAACACGCCGTACTCGTCCTGACCTTACCACACTATTAGCACAAGATACATTTCATCGGGCCTTATTCATTTGTTGTATGGAAATAGTTATGTTGAGTTGTGATCCACCAAACCACCATTTTCCATGGATATTAGAAGCGTTAAGTCTTGATTCAGTTCAATTCTTTAAAGTAAGCATGATCAATATTTTATGTATTTTAGAAGAAACATTTTGTTTTATTTATTTTTACTATATAACTAGTTTTCTTTTCTAAAAGTTTCTTAAATAATCCAGTAGGTTATCAATTAACTTCATTAAAAGAAACACTTCTGGCAATTTTTTTCCAATCACTTGATGTGCGGTGTATCCTACTCATGTTGGCGGATATAATTAGTATGTAGCACCAGTCGGAAGCGGAATGCCTGTCAACAGAATATTTAGAAGATTAAATTGAAGTGAACAGGAAGAAAAATAGAGAGCGATTGTAATAACAACAGAATTGAAAGAATCTTGATGTAAAGGACAACTGAAGGAATATGTGCACATGATGTATTTAATTTATGATTTTCATATTTTACTAATCCACTATGTGATTTTGCATTGAATAATAAATCGGTCTTCCCCACCTGAGTTCTCATCATTACAAATGTACTACGGATATCTATTCAAATCAACCACGAAGATGATAAACAGTAAAAGCATCCAAATACAAAGTAATTAAAAAATTTACACAACGACCGCATACAATTACTTACACCTGTTACTCCACATGGAGCAACGTAAGCCGCCCACCGGCATTCTTTATCCAACTCTGTCCTGGACAATCCTTTTCTTGTCTGCTTCCGATTCCCGACGCAGTGTGTTTTCTGGTCTTTCTCCTTCCCGTTTCTCTTCAGGATTCCAAGTTATGACTTACCTCGTGATGCAGTTTGGCGATTTCCAAGTGTGTGTCCTATCTACTTCTAACGTCTTTTCCTAATTTCCAACTCAGCTGGTTTGTTCTCTCCTACAGTAGACTGTTGCTGATGATATCAGGTCAACAGTCATTAAGTATCTTACGTAGACAATAAATAAATACTTGTGCTTTTTTGATGATAGTTGTAGTAGTTCTCGAAGTTTCATCTCCGTACAGTAGAACGATCTTGGCGTTCGCATTGAAGATTGTGACTTTGATATTGGTTGACAGTTGTTTTGAGTTCCATATGTTCCTCAACTGTCTGAATGCTGCCTTTGCTTTACCAATCCTTGTCTTTACGTCTGCATCAGATTCTCCCTGTTTATCGATGGTTCTGGTAGCCATGTACTTGAATGTTCCCACATCTCCCAGAATTTTTCCATCAAGTGAGATTGGGTTGGTGTTCTGTGTGTTTTTCCCTTGTGTATATGGAGGCTTGTTGCTACACCAACTGTCTTGGCCTATAGGCCAAGTTACATCTAAGCTATCCCTTGTATTCCGTGCTTCCTCTCAGATGTCGAGGTCCTCATAATCCAATCAACCACCAGAAAAAAGAGAAAGAGGGAGAGTAAGCAGCTTTGTCTGACTCCGGTCCTCACTTGGAATGCATCTTTTAGTTGTCCTCTGTGCACTTTATAGAGCAAGGAAAAACAATGGCAAAGCATCCGTGTTCGATAATTATTTTGATTTGTGATAAGATTGTCCTATAAAAAAGTATAGTTGTTGGTGATGAAACCTTATTACAAAGCTAATTGGGCAATAATATAAATTTTCAGATAGTAATGTTAGATGGTATACTAGAGATTAATTCAAATAACCGACAACTTTAGTGATGACTGAGGATCCTAAAACAATGTAATTAGTGAGTAAAATAAGTAGTATTGCTCCTTACAATCTGATTTCATGCTCTTTTCATCTCTTATCTACCTTAACGATAAGAATGTTCTTTTTTCTCCAACAGGTCGTCGAAGTTTTAGTTCGTAACTTAGATTTGCCGCGTGAAATTGTTAAATATATGAATCAAGTTGTCGAATATATTCTAGATTCATATGCATGGCGTACAAACTCTTCAATATGGTCGGTACTGAAAGCAACCGGACGAGCTCCATCTATTGAAGAAGTTATACCTCCTGAAAAACTTGATCAAGTAAGAAAAATATTCATTTGATATTATGATAAATTTATAATTATTATAAGGCGATATATGTGTGTAGAACAGTGGTCTAGTAATTAAAACGTTTCGGGTTCAAACCTCACTCCATTTACTTCGCTTTGGGCAACCGAACAGTATTATTGACTTTCAACTTACTCCCATGAGAGTCTTATTGTTTTCGTGTGTTCATTCTATGTATCCGATCGCAAAAATTATTTCATGTAATTTTACCAATACCTTTTTTCGTTTTATTTATTCTTTTTGGTCTATTTCAAAAACATGTATAAGTAAATTGTAAAGAGAATTTCTGGCGAGACCACCATTTATGGACGGATCAATCAGATTTACGATAACAGATCTTGAATTTTGGCGCGAAATTCATTCATCCATTTAACTAAATAGCATCTTGGCGTTATATCTGATGTTAATTCGTGATGAAAACCCTAAATCTAATTCCTAACCCTAACTCAACTGTAAATCATAATCATAATTCTTCACACTGGTTTATAACCCTCATTTAGCCGTAGTATGTAGGTAGACACTCTCAAGGTCTTTTTAGCGTCACTCAAAGGTCGTTCATAAATTGTAGTCTCACCTGATTTGTTTCAAGTTAAATTTATTAATATTACAACTTCAAAAAGTTTTCTACTTCTGACTGTAGAGATGGTTTATTGTAGTGGTTATGATCAATTCGTACTGAATTCTGTTAAACAGAGTTGATTTGCGTTATTTTTCCCCGTTTTTGAAAATTCCAATAGGTTTAAAGCACAAATATTTATGTATATATAATTCTCATTTTCTATCCATAAACTATAATTATTTATTATCATTACATACTATTTATTCTGTTGAATTATTTGGAACTTTAAGTTGTGTATTATAATATTTTTCAAAGATATGCCTAGAATCACCAAACAATTTTTTTATTAATGATTAGTTCAGACATTTAAATTACACGTGTACCAGTAAATTAGGTGTCAAAAAACACACTAAATAGTCTATTCATGTTTTTCTCTGTAACATCGTTGGTTGGAACAGGAAATGAAGTTATTTTATTAATTAGTCAGTCAGTCAGTCAGTAACAACGTAGAACTTAGTACGTACGTACATCAGTTCGAGTTGCCACACCACATTAGCACAGAGATGCAGTGGTCGATTCAAATCCCGTAGTAGTAGAGGTAGCAAGAGTATAAGCAGTAATCGGGAAGATTAGGGTTTGGAGATGTTATTTAACGAGTATAATCCAGTGAAATAAATATGGAAAGAGGAAAAAATAGGGGCATGAAGAATTCAGATAATTAGAATTTGGGAGAACATAGAGAGTGGATGCACCTGCGCCATTGCAATCGATTTTGAGCCATGTCATTCAGGGTCTCTAACCATCGGTTGCTATCATTTCGCGGTCCCCAACCAGGTAGTCTACACCTACCAACATGACTCAGACCACTTGTCAGTGACTTCATGGACTTGTGCCATGTTTTGGTCTGGCCGCCCCTAGCTTTCTTCCAACCTACTCCTATACCACTGAATATAGCACGTCGAGGTAGTCGGTGGTTGGGCATACGTAACACGTGTCCCAGCCATCTCAACTGATGAAGTTTCACTACTTCATCAATTGATTTGCCATCCTTACCTAGTACCCGTTTCCTAACAGCTGCGTTACTTACTCGGTGGTCCCAGGATATACGAGCAATGTTTCGAAGACACCTATGATCAAATACTAGTAACCTACGAATATCCTCTACTCTTACCGGCCATGTTTCACAGCCATAAAGTAGGACGGAACGAACTGCTGCGCAGTAAACACGTCCTTTGGTTGGTAGACGGATATCTCGCCTACGCCATAAATGACGCAAGTTGGCAAAAGCTAGTCGAGCCTTCTGTATCCGTGCTGAGATTTCGTCACACACCAGACCACAAGGGCTGATGAGACTTCCAAGATAAGTGAAGCGGTCGACACAATCAACTACTTCACTCCCTATCACTAGTTCGGGTGTCGATGTAACCCAATCCTGAAGCAACATTTTGCATTTCGAGGGAGAGAATCGCATCCCGAACATGCTTGCATTGTTGCTTAAAGTGGTCAGAAGACTCTGCATTTTGTCAGCGTCTTCACCAAATAAAACTATGTCATCTGCATATTCTAAGTCAACAAGTGAACCTCCCGGTAGAAGTTCAACCCCCGGAAATTTAGATGAGGAGAGTGTTATCTCTAAAAGTACGTCGACCACAAAGTTGAACAAGAATGGGGAGAGTGGACAGCCCTGACGAACACCACTTGATGTAATCAATTCTGATGACAGTTCGCCATAAGCTCTCACTCTACCAGATGTGTTCGAGTGGAGAGCCTTTATAAGGTTAATGTACTTCTTTGGTACTCCTTTCAGTGACAAACACTGCCATAGAACCTCACGATCAACAGAGTCGAATGCCGCCTTAAGATCGAGAAATACTACCATTGTGGGGCGTCTGAATGTGTGTCTGTGTTCTAGAACCTGACGTAGTGTGAATATCTGATCTATACAACCACGTCCAGGTCGAAAACCGGCCTGGTTTTCTCTAGTTTGCTCTTCACGAGCTTTGATTAGGCGTCGAAGTATTATTGAAGCTAATATTTTAGACACTATATTAGTCAAACTGATTCCTCTGTGATTGTCACAAGAGGACTTTTGTCCTTTCTTATAAACTGGTACAATCAGTGATTGAGACCAGTCAGATGGGATTACGTCCAGTTCCCAAATTCTACCTAAGACCTCGGTTAATCTCATTGCTAATACTGGACCACCATCCTTAAAAATCTCAGGAGTAAACCTGTCAGGGCCTGCTGCTCTCCCTCGTTTCAGATTTCCTATGGCTTTTTCAACTTCATAAAGAGACGGGATTAGTTCAAAGCAGTTATTGATGTAGGTTGGTTTAGTGTAGGTTGTTTTGAAATGTTTTTTTATTGAGGGGATGTTACGTCTCCTGAGGGTAAGTATATATTTCGATTCGACTCAACTAGTCTAGTCATAATAATTCGTAAAATATTTTACTACGGCTAAACATTGTCATTTAAACAACTTGAATTATACGTAGTTTGTTGGACTTTTGTAAAAGTAGCTTAGTAGTTATGTAGTGAACAGAACACGGGTGGGAGACAACCGAATGTATTTAGCACAAAATTACAGAGTTACCCGGTAAAATAGAAAAACCATATAGTGAATCGTTAATTTACAAAATATCATTCCATCGTAGCAAACCGGACTGTTGCTGCTGCAATCACCAATCGATTGTCTCACATTTCATGGTTCATGCGTTTTCTTACAAATTGCATTGCGTTCCCGCTCTTCCTTTCTTGATCTTCCCCCATCTTCTGCTGCCAGACATTACATTCATTAACTCGCGTCATATACTACTTATATCAATATAAGTAGCACACACCAGTTAAAGCGCTCAATCAACATCTAACCAGCAATAGCAGGTCACGGGTTCAAGTTTTGCCTCTCCTACTTTAATACTAGATTATTCGGGTGTCATTAACCGTCGTACAGTTTAGTTGTAACTCAATGCTGGTTACATAAACTCGTATATGATAATTATTAATATTATTGTTCGTTGATATTTTGGTTACTTTCATATTGCTTAATTTTCTCTTTATTACATAGGGTTCTAATGATTGTTATACACGAAATACCACTGCTATATCTCCTGGCCGAAAATTGTTAACTTCTAATGTAATATCTACCAAAAATATAAAACTCTCACCAAATTCTTATGCTAAACAACCTCGTCTTACGGGTAGTAACAATAATAATAACAGTAATAGTATTACATCTAAAGTATCAGTTAGTCGACAACAAAACATTGAATTTTCAACAAATCAACCTGGTATCTATCGGCTACTTTCATCGGGAGTTGAAGATGAATCTGCTCAAGCAGCAGCTCAACTACTTGCAAGTGGAGCTACTGATTCAGTTAACATAGATTCTGGTCTTCTTGGAACATCAGATGATGTTGGCATCAATCAGGATAATGTGAATATTGATGTGAAACCGATAACAGAGCAATTAGTTGATGATTATATTGTTAACACCGCAGTTACTGTGACTAGTGCTACTACCACCGTTAATAGTAGTAATAATAGTACTGTTGTTACATCTCTAACGTCTGGTCCCGGCAATACAATTAATTATTTCCCTATTCGACATGATTCAATTGCCATATTTTTTCGACAAACATATCAAATGGCCAGTTTACGTTTAAGAGATTTATGCGAACGTTTAAGTCTTACTCGTGAACTTATGGCAAAAATTTGGACATGTATAGAACAAGTAATTGTGCATGAAACTGAATTGCTTAGAGATCGCTGTATAGACCAAGTTATAATGTGTTGCATTTATGGTATATGCAAACTTGTTCTCTATCGTCCGCTTACATTTGTTGATATAGTTCAGGCAAGTGGTTCAAAGTTGTTTTTTCCTAGATTTCTTGAAGATTGTTATAAGTTATCTTTTATGATGCTAATAAACGAATTTAATTAACGGACTACAAATGTTATGTATGAGGTTGTAGAGATTGTTGAAATCATTAACTAACCTAGGTTAGACCATCATTGGAAGATAGTTGCACAATGTCGTGCGTTGATTGTTGTTAGATACTAACATTGTTGGATGCCAGCTCACTGGTCTAGATGTTTAGCAAGCGTTCCCGCGTGACGGATCGTGAATGTCCACTACATAAGAGTCCCTTACTAGAACGAGACGGTCGCCCAGTGCTTCCGGGTTTTCATAAGTGGATTTACTTAGATCAGTTTATGATCCTAATTAAAGTACAGAGTTTCAGAATACAAGGTTAGTAGATGAGAAACAAGTTTCGTATTCTCATATATCTATGTATCCATCAGTATTGTAGATACTAGACTGTTTCACGACATTAAATGGTAGGTTGGAACTCATATCCTATATTCTCCTCTTTAAGGTGGTGGTGTTACATTCCCAATCTTCATGAAAAAGTGTGGTTCAAGAGGTAGAACAGAGGCCTATTATTAAAATTATTTATGAAATCACGTGTTTTTAATCTAAATTATGTTTCGAATCTATTTCTTGGTACATAATCTTTGGTTTTCTCTTATTGCCCAGTCTCAATATCGCTTGGAAATGACATGCAAAAGAATAATCCTCTTTACAGTAGGATAATGTCACAAACATTTGAAGAAATTTCCTTTCACATGTCTTTAGATTTTGCACCAATCGTTAAGTGCAAAGCATATCAACTTCACCTGGCCTAGACCAGATCAGTAATACCACAATCATTGTGTAACAAATCAAGCTCATAAAAATTTGCACATAAATAATTCACTGCATTATTAGGTTATATTGTAATCGATTATTTAGATAATTGTTAGTATGAAGTTGATTCAATGGACTTAAATGATTGGAAGACACCGTGTGGGTATAAAATCATAGTAACCAAATTTCTAATCAAATTTACAGGTGTATAGAATGCAACCTCAATCTTATCGAGATATATATCGTCGTGTACTTATCAACAGAGTTTCTTATGGTCGTGGCAATACTGAAGAACGCGGTGATTTGTCTCGATTTTACAATGTTATATTTTTACCACAAATGAAAGACTTCATTAAAAAGGCAGCATCTGTACGTTCTACATATAATGAAACGGATCCTAATTGTCGAACAGGACATCATTCATTAGGCTCTGATTCATTATCAACCGATAATAACACTGTATTGAATCAATGGACGCTTCATCCATCATTATCCCCAATGCCTATTCTCGTAAACAATTTAGCTTCAAATTCTGCTGCGGCTCTCAATTTAGGTCTTGACCCAACAACTACATCGGGAGATATAATACAAGCTAGGTAAGTGAATAAGTAATGTACAACAACAATTGCTCACATTCCACTCGTTATTTATGCATATATGTGTGTATACTGAAATAACCAGTCTTTACTAAACGAATGGTTTCAAAACAATACTAGAAGACTATGACGGCATCATAAGGAATAGATAAGATTTGAAACATTCCCATCATCGCATAAACTTTTGAACTGTTAGTGGGATATTATGTTTATCAGGCTCTAATGAAAATTTATCGAGTTTTTATATAGCGACTGTTACACTCAATGTTTATTATTAATTTGCAATAAAAAAACATGTCTATGTTATTTGTTTATCTTATACTTTAGACTAATTATTTTGACTAAAGCTAATTTCTTAAAATTCATTCTAACAAATAAAGTTGTCCTTTGGTATGACTTGGGCGTTAAACTTTTAGCCATTAAGTCAGCAATTCGAAATCCCCTCCACCTACTTCGGTCCAAACAACCTGGTGACCCGAAGTCAAATATTACGAATCTGTTTACCTGGTAGTGAATCAAGGCTGGAATATGAAAATGGATAAACACACGTTTTATTTATCGCATTTAAAACCAGTCATAAGGGATTCTTGTCACATTACTACAGTAAGAAATAATTTAGATTATATAGTAACCATCTATCGTAACAACTGTCTACATCTATTTATAAAATTATCATAAATTCGTGCTAACTAGTTTTTTATCTTAAATTTTAGACGTTTAGCCAGTAATCGTAATATATTCATCAGTCCAGTTAAACAACAAGTAAACCTATCTCCGAAAAAAGTCATTTTTACAGTTGGCCGAAGTACTGGTAAAGATTTACAAGATGTTAATCTAATGATAAGCTCTGCTGAACGTCGTGCATCAATGGCCAATTTAACAATGGGCTTAAAACGTCCAGCAGGTGGTGGCAGTACAACAACTACATATGTTGCTAATTCATCTCCATTCACAGTCACTTCTGGAACAAGTTCATCACGTACAGTTACATTAGTTGGACCAAGTGGATTCACTACAAAACGAATAGATTTTGATATGTGAACATTAACTCAATCGACATTGTATTATTATTATTATTATTACTGCTATTTTATTATACCTGCATTTTTTCTTTGAAAAAAACAAAAACAAAAATTGAACATTCACTAATTCATTGTGTGTTTTTTTTAAAAATTATCTTTGTATTATTATCTGTGAATAAACAATATCTATATAAATTATACCAAGAATTTTCAAAAAAAAAACCATTACTTTTTGCTGTAAACATTTTTTTCATATTGAAGAATGATTCTTGTACATAGTAGAAATAATAATAGTAATAATATTTAACTCTAGTATATTATTATAGCGTTTCTTGTATGCATAGTGTTTGTATTGGTCGGTTATTATTATTGTTTTTCTTATTAATTGTTTTATCAGATCTAGGAGGGGGGGAGTATTTGTCTTATGATGATTTTTAATCTGTTTTCTTTAAAATGTATTTTATTTGAATAAAAGGGAAAGAGCAATAATGGTAGTAAATCATAATCTTTATAATAATTATAATAAAATCTAGGATTGCATTGCATAAAAGGTGGTTGGATTTACGAAAAAGTGATTTTTCACAGTGGTTTCTTTATGTTTATCTGCTTGTTCTTGTTCTCCTTCTACTGGAGATCGAGAACATTTTGATGCCCAAAATGGCGGTGATAATGCACTTGAAATTGATATGGGTGATATAGATAATTGATCCGTGTGTCGATGTTTTCGGTTTAGTGGAAAATCACTAATATTTCTAGTGGCGCTTAAATCAGTTGGGTTATCAGATGTAGAAAGAGATTCTTCGTGTGTGGAGATTTCTATGTTTTCATTCTAAACAATGCGGTTAAATTGTGACAAAAAGAGTAGTTAGATTATGCAAAAATAATTAAGTGAATAGTCAGTTTATCAATTAGAAATTAATTTTCATACTTGTAAAGAACATTTTTACTCAATGGTAGACAAATGTAGAGTGTGACACAAAAGTCGCTAACAACTGAGATCGAAATAATGTCGTAGCAAGGGAAAGGCTTCTTATTAGAATTATATATGAAAGAATACTGAAATTCGAAATATAGGGTAAGACGGATAAGATGCATTTGCGCTATTGTGACCGATTCTGAAGTGTTTCAATTGACATCTTGAACTACTGATCGCGTGAACCCTAACTGAGTAGTCTAAACCTACTAAATTAACTCGAATCAGCAGTCAGTGGTATCATTCTCCCAGGGCACTCCTACACCCGGTCGTCAAAGTAGGTGGTGTTTAGACATATCAACCATTTCAGTGAGTGAATATTCGCCTCTCAACAGCCAATTCGTCACCATTCTAAATATTATCTGTTAATTGGCCAAACTGTCTCAAGTCCCAGAGGAGCCAAATTGGATAATCTGTATTGTTGAAGCTCCTCTGGTTCAGAATGCGGAATGATCTGAATAATATCAGATAGTTTGTTATGTTATCAACACTAAGTACTTAAGCATTTTTTCGTCAGATCAGTCATAAGCGCCTTAGCATTTGGGACATACGCAAACCTAGTGAAATTGCCACTAAATCGCTGCGAGATATAATTTTCAAAACAGATGACGGGATAACAGTTAGTAATTGTAGCGGCGGTGGCAGAAATAAAAATGATTTGAAATATATGTGATATGACAAGAAGAAAATGGACAAAATAAAGGGTTTTTAAAATAGAAATACTCAGGATTTCGGAAGAGCATTATGTTCACCAATAAAATCGTGAGCTACCATCCATTATCTCCAACCATCGTTCACAATAATTGCGCGGATTTCGACGAGTTGATCACCTATTAACATAGTTCATTTCAACAGTGGATGGTTTCACGCCTTTGATTGGTCACCTTTAGTTTCCCTCTAGCTTATTCATACATCCGCATATATTGCGCGTCGAATTAGGCGGTGGTTAACGAATAAAAAATATTTTGACCTGAGCTATAACTAGCGCATTGTGCTAGGTTGTACGTTGATAACGACTGACTTATCGTATCTTTTCTTCATAATAAAAATATATTTTGAATTTCTTGACCCACTGACAAAAATAAATTGACTCATCAACTCAACTATTAAATTACAATCACTAGTGACTGGCTTCAAGAGCTATTTCCTGAAGTTGTAGTAAGAAACCGTGACCAGTGGAGTATCACCGGGTCTGTTGTGTGATAATCCACTGAAGACAATGGCGGATGGTGGCGCAGCACCGTTTGATGCCGGCTCAATGGTCTATATGTTAAGCGCTCGCGCGTGAGACAGAAGGTCCTGGGTTCGAATCCCGCGAGCTTGGTCGTGGATGCCCACTGTTGAGGAGTTCCATACTTCCAGGTTTTCCATGGTGGCCTAGCTTAAATTGACTCATGAAACCAACTACCAATAACAAGTGAACTTACTTTTGCATTCATTGCATCTTTATCTGCAGATAATGTAAGATTGTTTAAATTTTGATGAGCTTTAACTAATTGAGCGGCTAAAAATAAATTTTTTTTCCGAAATTCTTGATCAGATAATTGCCATAATTCACAAAATGCTGTTAATGATGATGGCGATAAGTTATCACAACCAAGATTAGCCAATCTCAGCCATTCTTGACTGTTGTTCAAAGCACCCCAGTTGAAGTTTGATGATATAGGCAATAGGGGTGACGGTAAATTATTATTGAAATCTGATGGAACTGACAATTTCGTAGTTAAACAGTGAGAAGGTTCTTGTATAGAATCTGATATATTATTTCCACCATTTAAAATTTGGTTAAAACTTAAATTCATGTTACTGTTACTATGATTAGCAAGTAAGGCAGCTGTATCGAGATCATGTGATAAGATCATTGTACGTGTAGGTGGATCTGGTTGTAATTTCCTGTCATTTGAAAGTGAAAAGGGAAACAAACATTGGAGACTGGAAATAACAAAAAGTTCAAAGAAAAAGCACTTTAAGTAAAATCATGATTTAAAGAAAAAAACCCTTTTTCCTTAATACATTTAACTTAATTTGTTTCGAAATAAACATATTGTCTGCTATGATGTTTTCATAGTGAAGGAAGAAAAAAACTGAACACGGTACAAATGCTTTAAAAAAGATTGGGTTACACAGAAAAATTTTCGTTTGTGAATTAGATCTAGGTGTAATCTGTCTATCGAACTTGTGATACATAAATGTCCAAGCTCGAAAAAGCAGTTAATAGTGTATGCCATCATGTGCATGTCTAGATACACCGTATATTTTGTATCTGTATGACATGTATTTTGCACCTAAATGTAAAGTACTTCTGGGAAACTGGCGGGATCTGTGCCTACATTCACTTTTTATGGTGAGTAGTTAAAAACAATTGAAAATTTCATGTTGGTGGATGGTATGAGTGCTGATGGTGGCGGGAATAATCATATTTATCTACGTGTAGTAAAAGGCGTTGTGGCTTATATCAGCGCAGGCCATTACTAGAGGCGTCACGATGTTAATCTTGCTGTAAACGGTCGAGTTTACAACGGGTTTGTTAGAGTAATTCACTTATATGTTTATGAAACCCGGTATCTAAATTGGGAATACCGTTTATTATCTGTATTTGGTCATCGTTGTCTTTGAAGGATTGCTGACGTTTGACAGGAAAATCATATTAATAATGCTGTTGTTCGATGTTGTTTTTCCGGTCACAATTACAACTCATTTGGTTTTACCATCTTAAAACACCAGATTCGGTGACTTGGACATGTCTTATAAATGTTGTCCCAGTGACTTACACTTTGCGCATTATTCGCTGACTCTGAAACTTTGGGAAAAGTGGAGGTGATCGGTTTATGACAAAGTGCCGTGGTATAAAAGTGTGTTGTTCAGGACTGGCACCTGTTATTACAATTAACTCATTCATCAAGTACTTGGATATAAGCCATATTTTAAGCGTGAGAGCTAATGATGCTACCTAGTTACCCTGACCAAAATAAGTGGATCATGGTTCGAGACAAGGATTTAATTGTTGAAAACCGAACGCAATTAACAACCGCTCCATAATAAATGTACTTTATATAATGATTAACTAATAACTCAGTTGTGATCACGACTCCTCAATTGAAGTCCTAAAGATAACTTGAAATGTTGTTAGATATGATTCAGAAGAGAATTTAATGGCAATTTTACTGCATCTTCTATTAAAAATACAATATTATTCATTTATTTACTGATTGATTATATTACCCTTCTCTCTTTTATTTCTCGTTTATTTTTATGGTGCATACTTTCTTCTTTTTTGATAACTTTGTTGTACCAGAATGTATGTAGGTAAATAAAATAAACAGGAGAACAATGTTCAAATTGATTTTAACCTGTGGGATTACATCCATTTCACAATCGATCGGTTTTATACACATGATAGTGTGTCAAATAGATTTTACAAGCAACCAATTTAAAAAAGAATCAATATGTTTAAAGTAATTCATTGAAATGGACAAATAAATCAATCAACAGAATACTTGGCAGCTTGCTTAAATATCTAGGTTACCTGTTCCTACCATCTAGATATTTCAACAATTGATTTATCTTTTTATTTGTTTTAACATATAATTACGTCTATGAATTGTATAACCTATTCAGGTGCGTATATGAAAAGTTTCCGACCTTTCATTGTTCAAGTCATAAAAAATTACAATCATCAGAGACATATTATGATGGGTGACAATATGGGTTGATAAGAATGAATATTATTAAAACTCAAAAATTAAAGGGAGATAAAGAAAAATCACAACCTTATATTTCTTCCCAATATGATTATCTTCAACTACAACTAATATTAATAATTTCACTCAATGAATTAAACAAAACAATCTATACAGAATGAATCAGTATACATTTACGTATAACATTAATGGATTAGAGTTTTAAAAGTTACACAATTCTGATATATATAAAGGCATCATATTACATTATATACTCTCTCTCTCTCTCTTCCCTTAAACTAAGAGATTAAAATCACTTCATATCATTCTTTCTACGTATTAAATCTTTCTTCCTGTATTATATCCTTATATGCAATCTTTCTTTTATATATTACCACCCTTAACTTAACTACTCTTATGAATCCAATGTTCATCTTGCTGTGTTAATGCGGTATGGCAAATTGAACCGACGCATATATGTGCCTGATTGATCCTACGTTATAAGCTGACTGACTGACTGATCATATTACATACAATACAATATTAATCAGTATTATAATATTCAATGTTATCAATTATTTATTTATCTTTATATAATAAATGATTATCAGAAGAATATTTTTTCTATGTAGAACTACCAATGTAATATTATCCTACCAGAACAATTTCACAATATAGAATCAATGTGATTATGAACAATGGTATATAATTGTATATAAATGTATCTAATATGGTTTATGGTAAATATAAAAATAAATAATAAATTATGTAAACTATCCATGAACTCATTAACGATAAATAAACATTAATTTTAATAATTATTTATCATAG